CCGAAAAAATTGGAGCAGCCTGATGTCTGGGGCAGGACCATCAAAGATCGATCCGGCTCGATGGGGGTCCAGGGGAGCCCGACGTGAGGTTTCGGGACGTTGCATTGGTATCTCAACGTCGGATCTGAAGGAAGGTTGGCAGAGGAGGCCGCCTCGAGGCGGAAAGATCGAGGTTTTCTGGGGATGCTTCGGGCCCCTCCCGGGGATCTACCAACATATCCGAAGGCCTCTGGGGGCCTCCTGGGCCGCACGGAGAAGTCGGGTGGACCTCTGGAGGCCTCCAGAATCTTGAGAAGGGAGGCCTGGGCAGAGCTCGGGGGAGCTCCACGACAAAGGGATCCCACGTGATTGAAAAATGTGGTGATCGTGGCGGGAGGAAGGAGGTTGGGAAGATACAGGCCACGACTGTGCAATGAGCAGGTCCAGCACAAGCGATGATACGGACTTGGAACCCTTCTCGGGAGGAGGAAGAGGAGGAGGACGAGGAGGATGACCTCATCATCTCTGCCAGCCCAGGCCTCCCAACCCGAGAGCTGCCTCTCTGCACGATCGGCGCACGGAGCGCCCCAGGGGCGGCGCCAGAGAGGCGCCGCCAGGGAGGGGGGCCCGGCACCAATCTAGAAAATCCTCGCGGACTCCGAGAGGTTATGCTCATGAGGTGGAATTTAGGACTATACCCATTGTTATTGCTACGGGTATGATGATTTGTACGACTCGAAACATCATTAATTTATCGTTTTGCTACTTCTCCGATTGCAACCATTATCAGTAGTACTACTGCGACGCCAACGACGACGCCGACGCCGACGCCGACGCCGACGCCGACGCCGACGCCGACGCCGACTACTACTACTACTACTACTACTACTACTACTACTACTACTACTACTACTACTACTACTACTACTACTACTACTACTACTACTACTACTACGACTACAACTACTACGACTACTACTACTACTACTACTACTACCACCCCTACTACTACTTCCTCCACTATACTACGCCTTCACTACTACTACTACTACGACTACGACTACGACTACGACGACGGACTACGACTACTACTACTACGTACTACGTACTACTACTACTACTACTACTACTACTACTACTACTACTACTACCACTACTACTACCACTACTACTACTACTACTACTACTACTACTACTACTACTACTACTAATACTACTACTACTACTACTACTACTACTACTACTACTACTACTACTACTACTACTACTACTACTACTAACAATACTACTACGACTACTACTACCACTACGAATACTACCATACCTCCGCACCACCACCACCACTACTACTAATATCTACTATACTTACTACTACTACTACTACTTCTACTTCTACTACTACTACTTTTACTACTACTACTACTACTACTACTACTGCTATATTACTTCTACTACCTACGGACGATACGAGTACCTACTTACAACAACTTATACTACTACTTCTTCTACTACTACCAAACACTACTACTACTATACTACTACTACTACTTACTACTACTACGACTTACTACTACTACTACTCTACTACTACTACTACTACTACTTACTTACTACTTCTACTACTACGACTTTTTTCTAAGACTACTACTATACTCTACTACTACTACTACTACTACTACTACTACTACTACCACTACTACTACTACTACTACTACTACTACTACTACTACTACTACTACTACTACTACTACTACTACTACTACTACTACTACTACTACTACTACTACTACTACTACTAATTCCCTACCTAGGCTCTGCCCAGCGGGTTAGCTTAGCTTAGCTTAGCATCGCGCAGCGCTGAATTAGCATAGCATAGCATAGCATAACATAGCCAAGCATAGCCAAGCATAGCCAAGCCTAGCATACCATATCATAGCATAGCATAACGCAGCGCTGCATTAACATATCATAGCATAGCATAACATAGCCTAGCATAGCATAGCATATCATAGCGCAGCTTAGCATAGCATATCATAGCATAGCATAGCTCATCATAGCACAGCGCAGCATGACACAGCGCAGCTTAGCATATCATAGCATAGCATAGCATAGCGCAGCATTTCATAGCATAGCATAGCATAGCATAGCATAGCGCAGCATAGCATGGCATGGCATGGCATAGCATAGCAATTAATGCTGCTTTCCTAGGGGCTCCAACTTCTAGGTAGGGTCGCACTGGGGTAATCATTGCTGCTGCTACTCTTAATGTTGTTCGAAACCTCCCTCCCCATTGCCAGAGATACGGCCACGCAGTGGGGACACGACCACGGGCAAAGAGCTCAAGCCTCTTCGCCGAAAGCCCGAAGCCCCGTGCAGCTACCCCCAACGACGAGCGGTCCGAGAGCGAAGAGCCCCGAAACGACGAGCCCCGAAGCCACGAGACTCGGCGGCACACCTCGGAAGCCGAGGGTGCCCCCCTTGGGGCCTCTTGCCTGCTGAATGGCCAGGGAAGGGGCCTCGAGGGCGGAGGCGTCGGAGTGCCTGGGGGAGGGGGGGGGGGGGGGCCCTCGTTGGGCAGGGACGGCAGTCCTGTAGGCGTACAGGCTTATCACTACATGCGCCTAAAACAAAAGATGGTTTTCATGGAAAAGGTTCCCATAACCAGAAGTGCTCGTAGAACAGACTGCCGAAGCATGCAACCAAGACTGCCTCAGGCAGAAGCGTTCTACGAATACTTCGCACAATCCACAAAATCTTCTTCTAGCATCAGCTACAAGGTGGGCCTATAGGCAGGTCAAGACGCTTCCCTGATATCCTCGCTCTGATACGACGCAAAAGATGCAAATCAACGAGTAAACTTACGCTCGGAGCTCTAGACCCCTTGAGTCGGATCGATTGGGGATGGCCCCAGGGCGCAAAAAGCCCGCAGAAAACGCTGGACGTGAACCAAATTGCAACGCACGGATCTGAGCATTCGCCACTGCTGGACTAGAAGAAAAAGAAGAAGGAAACAACAACACAAAAACGTCAGGAACACAAATTGTTGGCGCTCCGCGCGGGTTTTTTGGATCTGAGCTGGAGCGTTCCGCGCGCCAGGGGCGGCACCGCAGGCGCCGCTGGTGGGGCCCAGCGCGGATCCAAGAGATCCGCGCGGAGCGCCAAAAGTTCATGTTTCTGGCGTTTTTTCTTTGGATGGCAGAAAATCCACTCCGATAATTACCACCCCGACACGCGAAGCCGTTTCGTAAGCGCACGCAGATACAAGGAGTCAGACAGGGCAGGGCTGTTCCCCAATCAGAGCTTGCCTCTGTAGGGGTCCTAGCGAATTTAAGGGTAGGTGAAGTGTGCCGCCGATTCGGTGGCGGTGCCCGGGTGCCCGGGTGCCTGGGTTCGCCGCCGATTCGGTGGCCGGGCCCGGGTGCCCGGGTGCCTGGGTGCTCGGGTGCCCGGGTTCGCCGCCGATTCGGTGGCCGGGCCCGGGTGCCCGGATGCCCGGGTGCTCGGGTGCCCGGGTGACGGGTCTGGTGCCCGGGTGGGTGCCTGGGTGCCGGGTGCCAGGTGCCCAGGTGCCTGGTGCCCTGTAGCTATAAGGCTATTTAGGGCCATAGGCTATAGGGCTATAAGGCTATAAAGAAAAGGCTATAGGGTATAGGGCTCTAGCTATAAGGCTATAGGGCTATAGGGCTGTAGCTATAAGGCTGTATAGGGCCCGGGCGATAGGGATATAGGGCTATAAGGCTATATATGATCCCGGGCTCTGGGCCCACGGGCCCCCCCCCTCCCCCCCCAGATGGTATGGTCCCAGGATTCCTCGGGCCCCCCCCCCCCAGAGACGACGACGACGACGACGACGGCGACGACTACGACGACGGCGACGACGACGACGACGACGGCGACGACCACGACGACGACGACGGCTGCGGCGGCGACGACGCCGGCGGCGGCGGCGACGATGACGACGATGACGACGGCGACGACGACGATGAGGACGACGACCACGACGACGACGACGAGGACGAGGACGACGAGGACGACGAGGACGACGAGGACGACGACGACGACGACGACGACCTCTGAACCACCACAGTACCACACCACATCCACAGGGGGGGGGGAGGGGGGCAGCGCAGCGCAGCACCACGCCACGCCCACCTCTGAACCACCACAGCACCACACCACATACACAGGGGGGGGGAGGGGGGCACCGCAGCGCAGCACCAAGCCACGCCCACAGGGGGGGGGGCGGGGGGGACCATCGCGCGCGGGGGGGGGGGGGGGGCCCAATGGCATCAGCATTGGGGGGGAGGGGTGGGGGGCCCAAGCCCTGGACCATATATATATATATATATATATATATATAGCCTTATAGCCCTATATCCCTATCGCCCTATAACCCTGTAGTCCTGTAGCCCATATAGCGATATAGCCATATAGCCCATCTAGCGCCCAAGAGCCCATATAGCCCTGTGTAGGCCTATAGCCCTACAGCCCTAAAAAGATTATGATTGGGTTTTCTTTGGTATCATTTAGGAAACGCCCAGGGCCTTTTGGTAAACGCCAATTGTCTGGTCTGGGTGTTTTTTTCTCACTTAATTCTTCCCAGGCCCCCGACGTCGTGATTTTTCCGCAACGTCGGCCCCCAGAGGTCTGGACCCCTTCCCCGAGACTGGTCTTTCGTCCTGAAAAATTGTTTGACGGTCCCGGGGCCCCGTGAGGGCACCCGGCAGCCGAAAATGGCGGAAAACCTCCCGTCGTGATTTTTGTCAAGAAGCGAGGATCTCAGGTATCTTCGGTGTTACTCCCTCCCCTTGAGAAAGGGGCGGGTGGAGAGGGAAGAGCTGTGAGATGGGAGAGGGGCCGTGGGGAACGGGGAGCGCGAAGGGCAGGGGCCAGGGAACAGAAGACCGCCTCGTTCTCCTCCTGCTCGCCCTCCTCTCCCTAGCCTCGCCGGACACATGGCTGCCGAGATCGAGGCATCTTCGCCGTTATGATCGCTATTCTTCGGTGGACCCAGACGCGTCCTCCAGAACATCTGGCTCCATCGCTGGCACCTGCTCCGCCTCGGGCTCCGTCCCCGAGGCGCCGCCTCCCGGCCCGGCGTGCGGCGGGTGCCGGTCGGCGCGGGCGGGGCGGTTCGCGCGGCCCTGGCGCTTCGCGTTGGAGGCGAAGGCGTGCTGCACGCCCTTGAAGAGGACCTTTACTCTCTTGCACAGCTGTGTTCTAGAGAGCTCGGACCTCTTCATTTTCATTCGTCGTCGTTTTTCGTTCGTTCGTCGTTCGTCTTCCCCCCCCGGCCACAGAAGGAAACTCCTGGAGGAATGAGGCGAACGCCTCCTGTCCCTCGCAGCTCCTTGGTGCAAGAGCCAGGGCACGCGTGCCACTTGTTTTTTCCTCTCGCGCGCCCTTTGCTCGAGTTGCGACTCGATTGGTCTGCGTGTGTTCCGTTCCTTCTGGCTACCTCTTTCTCTTGCGGGGATAGCCGCGTCTGCAAATAACATATACGTACCTGTGCGACCACTCTTCGGGTTAACTGAGATCTCATGATGGAGGTTCGGGGGGAGGGGGAACCAACGCCTCATTCAATCGATCTCACATCGATCAAGCTCTTGATCTCACAAGCGATCTCACGATCGATCTCACAATCGATCTCACTATCGATCTCACAAGCGATCTCACGATCGATCTCACAATCGATCTCACTATCGATCTCACAAGCGATCTCACTACCGATAGCACAGTCGACTCTATTATCGATTTGTCACTCAAACTCACGATCGATTTCACGAGCGATCTCACGATCGATCTCCGAACCGATCTCACATTCGATCTGGCAATCAAACGCACTATCGATCTCACTTTCGGACGCACTATCGATATAACAAAGTCACGATCGGTCTCACGATCGATCACATAATCGATCTCACCATCGATCTCACTCTCGGTATCAAAATCGATCTCACAATCGCCCTCACGAGCAATCTCACTATCGATCTCAATGTGGACCTCACTGTAGATCACACGGCCGATCTCACCATCGATCTAACGACCTCCTACCGACCTCGCATCCGGACTCACGATCGATCTCACAACAGTTATCCCGATCGTCTCACCATCGATCTCACCACAGATCTCACGATCGATCTCACAACATATCTCACTATTGATCTAACACTCGATCTCACCAGCGATCTTACTATCGGTCTCAAATCAGATCCCATAATCGATTTCACAGCAAATCTAACTACCGATGTGTCAATCGAACTCTTTATCGATCTCACAAGCGATCTCACTACCGATGTCACTGCAAGGCTCACTATCGATCTCACAATCAATCTCTGCATCGATCTGACAGTCGAACTCACGATCGATCTCACATTCGGACTCACGATCGATCTCGCAACACTTCTCACCATCGGTCTCTCTATCCATCTCACAATCGATATCAGTATCGATCTCACTGCCGATCCAAATATAGGTCTCACGAGGGATCTCATCATCGATCTCACAACCAATCTCACTATCGGTCTCACAACAGATCTCACAATCGATATCGCAATCGATCACACGAGCGATCTCACTATCGATCTCACATCAGATCTCTCTGTGAAACTCGCAGCAGATCCCATTACAGATTTGTCAATCGAACTCACGATCGATCTCACAAGCGATCTCACGGTCGATATCACAACAGGTCTCACTATCGATCCCCCAATCGATCTCACAATCGATCTGACAATCGAACGCACTATCGATATCATATTCGGACTCACTGTCGATCTCACAACGGTTATCACTAACGGCCTCACGATCGATCTGACATTCGATCTCACCATCGATCTCACTATCGATCGCACTATCGATCTCACATCTGGTCTCACAATCGATCTCAGTATCGATCTCACTGTCGATCCCACTAGATCACACGGGCGATCTCACCGTCGATCTCACAGCTGATCTCACTATCGGTCTCACCGCAGATCTCACTATCGATATCACAACAGATCTCACGATCGATCTCACACCAGATCTCACGATCGATCTCACTATCGATCTCACCATCGACCTCAGCTCCGCGCCACCGACGGGACACCCCGCGCCACCGACGAGACACCGCCGCGCCACAGACAGGACACCGACGGGACATCGCCGCGCCACCGACGGGACACGCAAGCCACCACGCGCCGGGGGGGAGGGGGAGGGGGGGGCGGACAACCGGCTCCACAGCCCCTAGTGACGGCGGCATCATTCCTCTCGCGCGTCCACGCAGCTTCACGACACGAACACAAAACCGAAACCGATTTCCCGGTGGCGGGCTCTCCGTTCCACTGCGATCTCACCCCCTCACTTCCGACTACAACAAAACAGGAGAAAACAAAAGCACATGTCCTGGCGAAGAATCCCACGATATGCAGCTGTGAGTACTGCATTATGGGTACCAATTCGGTGGAGCTCCAAAGGAAGCCGCCATGCAAACGTTGCCACTGGGGCCTTCGGTGGAGCTCCCTGTGGGTCCACGCAGCGTGTGAGGGGTGCGCCGACATGGTACCGGGGAGTGCGTGCGAACTTTGCCACTGGGGCCTTCGGTGGAGCTCTCTATAGGCCCACGAGACGTGTGAGGGGTGCGCCGAAATAGGGCGGGGAGACGCATGCGAACCCTGCCACTGGGGCCTTCGGAGGGGCTTGTGAGGGGTGCGCCGACATGGGGCGGGTAGTCGCCTGCGACCTTTGACACTGGGGCCTTCGGTAGAGCTCCCTGTGGGGCCACGAAACGTGTGAATGGTGCGCCGAGATGGTGCGGGGGGGAGGACGCATGCGAACTCTGCCAGTGGGCCTGTCGGTGGAGCCCCCCTTATGGGGCCACGAAACGCGTGAGGGGTGCGCCGAGAAGGTGCGGGGGGACGCACGCGCACCTTGCCACTGGGGCCTTCGGTGGAGCTCCCTATGGGGCCACGAAGCGTGCGAGGGTGCGCCAAAACAGGGTCATGCGTAGGGCAGATGTACGGATAGGACGGAGAGGAGGAAGAGGAGGAGGAGGAGGAGGAGCAGGAGGAGGTGGAGAAGGAGGAGGGGGAGGAGGAGGTAAAGGAGGTGGAGGAGGAGGAGGAGGAGGAGGAGGGGAGAGGAGGAGGAGGAGGAGGAGGAGGAGGAGGAGTGAACGTACCATGAAGAGAAGAGACGAGGGCAAGCGGACAAGACGCGAGAAGAGGGCAAGTGATCCCACGCCTGTCTCTCGCCGCTACGTCTATCTCAGGATGCGATCTGTACGCTCGACGCTCTGGCCACCAGCATGGGGCCGTACACGGGGAGCGGAATGTAAATCGTACGAAACAGTATGAGAAGCACTCAGGAAAGCGGGGAACACCGGGATGGGCGGAAGAAGAGCGGCGGAAGAGGGAAGGGCAGGGGACGAGCGAAGCGAAGGGCACCAAGACGGGGACGAGCAGGGTGGGGAGCGCGGGACAGAAGGCACAGGGCTAGCTACATCGAGGGGGCTGGTCTCAGGAATGGCCTCAGAGAGAGGTCTCATCTCCAGCGCACGCGCGTCGAAGCAGTTCGGGTAGAGTTCTTCACGATAGGGTCGTACGCCACCAGCGGCAGCGGCATGCGGAGCTCGAACGCCGCCATCGGCAGCATCATGCAGGACGCGATCTTTAAGTAGGGGACGTTCGCCACCAGCGGCGGCGGCATGTGGAACTCGCTCGCCGCCATAGGCAGCGTCATGCAAGACGTGAGCTGCCCGTAGGGGTCGTTCACCACCAGCGGCAGCGGCGCGTGGAACCCGAGCGCCGCCATCGGCAGCATCATGCAGGACGTGAGTTGCGCGTAGGGGTCGTCCGCCACCAGCGGCAGCGGCATGTGGAACTCGTTCGCCGCCAACGGCAGCATCATGCATAACGAGATCTTCAAGTGGGGGTCGTTCGCCACCAGCGGCAGCGGCATGAGGAGCTAGAACGCCGCCATCGCCAGCATCATGCACGACGTGAACTTCAAGTCGGGGTCGTACGCCACCAGCGGCAGTAACATGCAGACCGTGATCTTCAAGTCGGGGACGTTCGCCGCCATCGGCGGCGGCATGCGGGACCCGGTCGCCGCCATCGGCAGCATCGTGCATGACGTGTTCTTCGGGACGGAGACATGCGCCACCAGCGGCAGCGCGAGGTGGAACGTGTTCGGGATGATGAGGTTGTTCGCCACCAGCAGCGGCATCATGCAGGTCGTGATCTTCAGGACGGGGACCTCCAGCGGCAGCGGCATGCAGGACGAGATCTACTGGTCGGGGTCGCTCGCCACCAGCGGCAGCGTCTACCCACGCGTCGAAGCAGCGGAAGAACAGCCTGTTGTCCTTCAGGACGGCGCGCCGCATGGCTCGCCACCACTCGCGGAACGTCTTGGTCAGGATCGATCGCGCCTTCGTGGCACCGAGGCGGCGCATGGCGACGTAACGGCGCAGCGACCGTGCCGCGAGGGATGGCAGCGCAGCTCCGCGGGGACCGTCAGAAGTTCGGGCACGAAGAGCGCGCAGAACGCCAGCAGCATCGGCAGCAGTGGGAGTAAGACTATCGCCACCCACGGCGGCGACGTGCAGACGGACGCCAGCGAGGAGATCACCAGCGACACGATTTTCAGATCTCTGAGCCGGGAGAGCGTGCAGAGCGCCGGCACCGGCGACACCAGCACGGCCAGCTTCAGAATCGGCCACTTGATTGGTTTGGAAGTCATGCAGAGGATCGGCAACGACTCCAGCGGCGCGAACGTCGGAACGTAGAACAGGTAGAGCGTGCAGAACGACACCAGCGGGGTTAGCACCAGCGTCAGCATGTTGAAGAGAGACTTCGGCAGCTGTAGTGGTATGTTCGACTGCTTCAGGGTCGGCGGCGGCTCCAGGAACGCGGCGTAGGTCATGCGGGAGAACGTCAGCGACACCATCGGCATCGGGTTCAGCGGCGCGGTGAACTTGACGTGCAGGCGGAGGAAGACGGCCAGCTCCGTGTCGTGGGACTGGTTGAGCGGGCACCGCAGCGCGCGGAGGTCCAGCATCATCATGGAGCCCAGCATGCACACGACGCCGCTGGATGAAGTTCGCGACCTCCTGGAGCTCGTGGTAGCCGCAGACGCCCAGCGGGTAGAGCGGGAGCATCACGTTCGGCATGTGGCGTTGGTGTGCTAGGTCGGTGTGGACGGGATCGCCATCAGCCGAGCGTGCCGCCACGGCGCCAAGGACGAGAATATGAAGACGAAGGACGTGGCGGCCTGCGGCTCCGCGTGGGCGAGCGCGACCACGCTGCAGCCCTCGGCAGGTGCGGACGTACGAGGCCGCCAGGGATCGCGTGTGCGGCATGGCGACTGCGCACAGCAGCGGCAGGAGGCTCAGCAGCCCCAGCCATTGCATAGATATGGATGGCCGCCGTCAGATACGGGCGGCGCTGCGCTTGGCCAGGGGGCCTTGGGCGAAACAGCTGTGGAACTCATTTCGGCCCAAGTCCGAGACCCCACGGAGGGGACGGACTTGAGCCAAAATGGCTACGGAAGAGGAGGAGGAGGAGGAGGAGGAGGAGGAGGAGGAGGAGGAGGAGGGAGGGGGAGGAGGAGGAGGAGGAGGAGGAGGGGAGAGAAGGAGAGGAGAGGAGAGGAGAGGAGAGGAGAGGAGAGGAGAGGAGAGGAGAGGAGAGGAGAGGAGAGGAGAGGAGAGGAGAGGAGGAGGAGAGAGGAGGAGAGGAGAGGAGAGGAGAGGAGGAGGAGAGATGAGATGAGGAGAGGAGAGGAGAGGAGAGGAGAGGAGGAGGAGAGAGGAGGAGAGGAAAGGAGAGAAGAGGAGAAGAGAGGAGAGGAGAGGAGAGGAGTGGAGAGCAGAGGAGAGGAGAGGAGACGTGGGACGCTGTCCAAAACGAGGACCCCAAACCAAAGGACGGTTGAGAAAAAAGAAAGCCCACATAACCGCAAAGGGGGAACACCAATCGGGTCGAACGGACGCCCCGGGGCCTTCCATTCGATCCCTTCCCCGCCGGGGGGGGAGGTTCCAGGGTGGGATCGCGAGACAAACAGTGCCCACAAGGGCACCCACGAGGGCTCGCGAACGTCGTCGTCGTCGTCGCAGCCGCCCTCGTCGTCGCCGTCGTCCCCCTTCAGGGTCGGCGGCACTGGCCGCAAGGCCTTCGCAATAATACAAATGCACGACAGGAAAAACAAACCGCTAATAAAAAAACGAGGTAACTGATATATCAAAAAGAAATGTTTGAAATCAACTCAACGCAACAATCCTGCGACTAATACGTGTATGCCTTCAGTGATCCAGATAGGCAGATGGTTTGTGAGAGGGGCAAGACGTGCATGTCAGAGGTGCGTTGGCACCCTTGAAGGGGACCTGGTAGGACATGTGCATCTGGGCGTAGAGCAGCTGGTTGTCGTCAGGGCTCACCCGCTCCAGCGGAAAGGTCGACCTGAGCACGGCGTTGAACCTCTCCTGGGGGAACCAAAATGTACCCACACCGCTACTCCCCGAATCTCTCCTAGGGAGCGTCCTGACCAGAATTTCGAGGCGAATCCAGCGGTGGCGACGAGGGTCTCCGAGGAGGCCCGGAAAGAGTGAAAACGAAGGAAGAGCAACCAGAATCTTGAAGCGAATCCAGCCGTGGCGACGAGGGCCGCCGAGGAGGCCCCGAAAGGGGGACGACAAGGGAAGAGTAGTGGGGTATGGGTGTATTTGCCTCCTTCGATCTCCATGTCCCCGTGCCCGCCCGCCAGCTTGACGACCGTCATGACGACGGCGTCGCGAACGTAGCGGGCGACCAGGTCGAAGGCGGCCTTTTCCTCTGGGGGGGCAGCGACGACGACGAAGACGACGCCCAAGATGACAACGACGACCACCACGACGATGACGACGACGACGACGACGACGACGACGACGACGACGACGACGACGACGAAGGAAGACGCGAGCCTGCCGGGTGCTTCGCTTCCACAGGTCGAGGCGTCGCCCGCAGCCCCGCGAGGGACGCCGACCAGGTCGAAGGCGACCTTCTCCTACGGATACCGGCGCTCCCCGGACCTCTCCCGTCGCGCGCCCTGGCCAGGATTTCGAGGCGCTTCCAGCCGTGGCGACGAGGGCCTCCCAGGAGGCCCAGCAAGGCGAAAACGAGGAAAAGGCAGCGGTCTATTGAAACCTGTTTCTCCTCCCCCTCGCAGCAACACCCACAGTGCCCAAGCACGTGCACTGGGCAAGCCCGGGATCCCCTGAGGCCCAAAACCTGCCACAGGCTAGCGAACACGCAAGACCATGGCCAACACAGATAAACTAAGGTGGGTGCAGCCACGGCAACGTACGTCAGGTTCGTGTCGTGCCGACTTCGGCGTTGGTCTCTGACACCGCAGGGATCGTTCAACCTTGAACGATCGGCCGTTTCCGAAACGTCCAAATCGTTCCACATCCAACGATTCTGGGTCGCCCGCGGCGTTCAAAGTCGAACGCCGCTGGCGGGGTCGCCGCCGGTCGACGCGACACGAGCCTACCGTAGCTGGCCTGCCCTGCGCATGCGGCCGAGACACGGACCCCAGATCCCGAAGAGGCCCGCGCGGAGCTTCTGGAGCGGCACTGGGCCCTCCCTCCTGCAGCGGGATGCCGGGGGCAGCTCCGGAGGCGCCGCCAGGGGGGGGGGCCCAGCGCAGATCCACATGTTCAATGTTAACGCAGGAGGAGGAGGAGGAGGAGGAGGAGGAGGAGGAGGAGGAGGAGGAGGAGGAGGAGGAGGAGGAGGAGGGAGGAGGAGGGAGGAGGAGGAGGAGGAGGAGGAGGAGGAGGAGGAGGAGGAGGAGGAGGAGGAGGAGGAGGAGGAGGAGGAGGAGGAGGAGGAGGAGGAGGAGGGGGGGCCCAGCGCAGATCCACACGTCTGATGTTAATGCAGATTGCCCTTCGATCCTCTGGCGCGAGGAGGCCCTGCACGGAGAGCATCGACAGGTAGATGCCCGCCGCCGCCTGCGGCGAGGTCTTCCCAGTTGCATCCCCTATGAGGCCCGACGCTGCACACAAACATTGTTGCAACCTCGCCTCGAATCGCACGACCCAAGCCCTGTGATGACCCCGAGGCCCGGAACCTGGGCGAACACGCCCGGTGTGAGAAAAATCGCAGCGCCCCGATCTCCAGGGTGGCCGTGCCGCCCCCGGGGAGGTCGACGAGCGCCGGTATACCGCCACTCCCCGGACCACCTCCTGGGGGGTGCGCTCCGACCAGGAGCTCGAGGCGAAGCTGGCCGTGTCGACGGGGGCCGCCCATCCCGGGAGGCCCAGGAGCGCAACGACGAGCGAAAAGGAACGAGAGCGCACACGCCCAGACCAGCGGATTGAAAGGTAGCTGCCTGCGGCGCTGGGCGGCGAGCGAGGGGGGCGGGGGCGTGGGCAGGGGCGGGCCCTCTCGGAAGGCTCGGGCGCCCCCCGGCCATCTGAGAAGAATTCTGAGCGCTCCCCGAAGAGCGAAAACACCTCTCAGGAGGCCGGAGGCCTGCTGAGAAACCCCGCCGCCTCCTGAGGAAGCTTTCTCCTCTTCCCTTCCCCCCCCCCCCTCGCTCGCCGCTGAGAAAGTCGGCTACACGTTAGAGTGACCCTGGGCAAAGGGGACCTTTGGTGCGCGACCAAACGGGGGGCGCGGGGTGGCCAAACCCGGGCGCGCAAGCCACTGCTATCGCTTCGCGTCGAACCCTCGGGGGACCCAGTTGGGCCCGCTCCACATGTCATGCTGGCGACAGATCATTCTTACCGAGACCCCCGACGTCGTGATTTTGTCCGCGACGTGGCCCCCAAGAGCCTGGACCCTTTCCCAGGGACAGGTTCTTCATCCTGAGTCTTTGCTTGACAATCCCGAGGCCCGGCGAGGGCCGCCGGAAGTCGAAAATAGCGAGAAAAAAACGCCTCGATTGTTTCACGGCGCGAAGGGGTCTGTGCGGGGCCCCAATGTATACACCACCACCAGGCGGCCGTAGGAAAGGAACAAATCCTGCGCGCGACCGCCCTGACGGGGGCCCCACTGCTTGCCACATGGTCATGCGCGCAGATGGCGGCCGCATTCGGTCGCGAAGAATTGTTCCCAAGCACCCTATGGCAGCACGGCGGTTGTGTATAAAAACGATGACCCCCCCCGGGAATGTTATACACCACCCCGAAATCTGTATCACGTGAATGTGTTGTTTTTTTTCGCATGCAACCATGTGCCCAAATGATGCTGCACACGCGACATGTCATTCCCGCGAGATTTGACACACCCTGCAACCCACCGCCGAAACAATAATCCGATCAACTCCCATGACAGAAAACCAGCCCGCGGTGGTGATGTATATGCGTGGGTCCCAGAGTCTGGTCTGGGCACGTCTAGTCGAGAAAGGTCGATGCTTGCAAGTCTCGACCCACTTCCCTGGACCAGCTTTTCATCCTGAGTCGCTTCTTGACTGTCCCGCGGGGCTGGTAAGGGTCTCCAGAGGCTGAACAGACATAAAAACCTCCCGTCATGTTTTTTCATTACCCGAGGGGTCTGTAGAGGCCTACTGGATGGGGTCGGACTAGATGGGGCCGGAGGCTCGCACCGCATCGCTGCATCGCCGATGCACTGGCGATGCATCGTCGACGTGTGCGATGCGTCGGCGACGTCGACGTGAAGCAGATCGGGCTCCACATCGAGCCGCATCGCCGAATGCATCGTCGATGCGGCACGATTCTCCGACCCCAGCTGCTCCGACCCCATCTAGGAGGAGGAGAAGGAGGAGGGGGAGGAGGAGGACGAGGACGAGGACGAGGAGGAGGAGGAGGGATGATGATGATGATGATGATGATGATGATGATGATGATGATGAGGAGGAGGAGGAGGAGGAGGAGGAGGAGGAGGAGGAGGAGGAGGAGGAGGAGGAGGAGGAGGAGGAGGAGGAGGGGGAGGAGCAGGAGGAGGAGGAGCAGGAGGAGCAGGGAGGAGGAGGAGGAGGAGGAGAGGAGGAGGAGGAGGAGGAGAACGACGAGGAGGAGGAGGAGGAGGAGGAGGAGGAGGAGGAGGAGGAGGAGGAGGACGAGGAGGAGGAGGAGGAGGAGGAGAACGACGAGAAGGAGGAGGAGGAGGAGGACGACGAGGAGAAGGGCAGGAGGAGGACTGCCCCGATGCCTGCGGCACGGTCTCCCCGGTCTCGGCCTGGGCCTGCAGCGCCCACTGCAGCTCGCCCCTGGCCTTCTCCAGGAGGCTGGCGGCCCGGCCCTGGTGCGGCACGGCCTCCCCCGGGGGGGAGGGGGGGGGGGGGTGCGCGGCCGCGGCCCCCTCCGGAGCTCCGAGGCGCAGGCATCCCAGACCCCCCTCTGCAGAACGAAAGGCTGCAGGCAGGCTACTGCTGTGTGCCTGGCGGCCTATGTCTGCCACCGCCATTCCTCGCCAGCCGTCGAAGAAGTGAGGCAGGATCCCACGGGCGCACCCGCACACTTTTGGCCTGGCGGTCGCGGTGCGCAGGGTGTGCGAGGCGGGTCGGGACCCCCCTCGCGTCGTGGAAAAGAAATCGTGGCGGGAGGTTTTTCGCAGTTTTCGGCCTCCGGGGGCCATCGCCGTGCCTCGGGGCCGTCAAAAAAATGACCCGGATGAAAAAAACAGTCCGCGGGAAGGGCTCCAGGCATGTCCAGGCGCCTGGGGCTCACGTCACGGAAAAAATCACGTCGGGGGTCTGGGACTGGCAGGCAGGCAGGCAAGGTCCGATCGCGTGCGGAGGCCGCACGCGCCCCACAAGTGGAGGCGTCGCTGTAAGATATGCAGTGAGACACACCCCTCTGCAGAACGAAGGCTGCAGGCAGGCTACTGCGAGAACGAAAGTCGGCGAGATCATCCTCGAACTTTGCCCAGGATCCCACACTCGGGTACCATGAAACATGTCTGAGAATGGCGTGGCATGTTTGCTCATTTCTCGGAGGTCCGAGCGGATTTCTTGGATCGGCGCTGGATCCCCAGGGATCACCGGCAAGCTGTGTGCCTGGCGGCCCATGTCTGCCGCCGCCATCCGTCGTCAGCCGTCGAAGAAGCGAGGCGGGATCCCACGGGCGCACCCGCACACTTTTGGCCCGGCGGTCGCGGTGCGCAGGGTGTGCGAGGCGGGTCGGGACCCCCCTCGCGTCGTGGAAAAGAAATCGTGGCGGGAGGTTTTTCGCAGTTTTCGGCCTCCGGGGGCCATCGCCGTGCCTCGGGGCCGTCAAAAAATGACCCGGATGAAAAAAACAGTCCGCGGGAAGGGCTCCAGGCATGTCGGGAGGGTCGGGAGCCCTTTTCCTTCAATCTTACATGAAGCAACCAACGCGTCCGACGTCTTTTTTTGCTCAGTGCGCGGTCCCAGGCAGTCGCGATACGGCCAGTCTCTCACCCCGAGTCTTCGCTCGACGGCCCCACGGTGCCCGCCGAGGGCCCCAGGAGGCCGAAAAACAACGATTACCCCAGTGCGACCCTGCCTAGAAGTTGGAGCCCCTAGGAAAGCAGCATTAGTTGCTATGCTGTGCTATACTATGCCATGCTATGCTGCACTATGCTATGCTATGATATGCTATGCTATGCTATGGTATGACATGGTATGCGATGCTATGCTGCGCTATGCTATGATATGCTATGTTATGCAATGCTATGATCAGCTAAGCCATGGTATGGCATGCTGCGCTGTGCTATGCGAAACTATGCTATGATATGCTAAGCTGCGCTATGATATGATATGATATGATATGCTGCGCTATGATATGCTATGATATGGTATGCTATGATATGAGTGGATATGCTATGCTATGCTATGCTATGCTATGCTATGCTATGGTAATGCAGCGCTGTGCTATGCTTAGTTGAGCTAAGCTAAGCTAAGTTAACCCTCTAGGCAGAGCCTAGGTAGGGAACTACACCCATGCTAAGCTATGCTGGGCTATGCTATGCTATGCTGGGCTACGCTATGATATGCTGTGCTGCGCTATGCTATGCTGTGCTACGCTATGCTATGCTGTGCTCTGCTATGCTAAAGCTCAGCGAAGCTAAGATGAAGGTAAGCTAAGCTAAGACAAACCTGAGCTACGATGAAGCTAAGCTAAGTTAAGATGGAATAAGCTAAGCTAAGATGAGATCAGCAACGCTAAGCTAAGGGGACGTAGCTGGGGGAACCGCGGGGCGGGTACTGGGGGAACCGCCCGGGGCGGTGTGCACTGCCCGGCCCCTTTAAGAAAGAGGGTAAGAACCCCCTAGGCAGAGCCTAGGTAGGGAACAACGATTACCCCAGTGCGACCCTACCTAGAAGTTGGAGCCCCTAGGAAAGCAGCATTAGTTGCTATGCTATGCTATACCATGCCATGCTATGCTGCACTATGCTATGCTATGCTATGCTATGCTATGATATGATATGCGATGCTATGCTGCGCTATGCTATGATATGCTATGTTATGCTATGATATGATCAGCTAAGCTATGATATGGCATGCTGCGCTGTACTATGCGAAACTATGCTATGATATGCTAAGCTGCGCTATGATATGTTATGATATGATATGATATGATATGCTATGCTATGCTGCGCTATGCTATGCTATGATATACTATGATATGATATGCTATGCTATGATATGAGTGGATATGCTATGCTATGCTATGCTATGATATGGTAATGCAGCGCTGTGCTATGCTTAGTTAAGCTAAGCTAAGCTAAGTTAACCCTCTAGGCAGAGCCTAGGTAGGGAACTACACCCATGCTAAGCTATGCTGGGCTATGCTATGCTATGCTGGGCTACGCTATGATATGCTGTGCTGCGCTATGCTATGCTGTGCTACGCTATGCTATGCTGTGCTCTGCTATGCTAAAGCTCAGCGAAGCTAAGATGAAGGTAAGCTAAGCTAAGACAAACCTGAGCTACGATGAAGCTAAGCTAAGTTAAGATGGAATAAGCTAAGCTAAGATGAGATCAGCAACGCTAAGCTAAGAGGACGTAGCTGGGGGAACCGCGGGGCGGGTACTGGGGGAACCGCCCGGGGCGGTGTGCACTGCCCGGCCCCTTTAAGAAAGAGGGTAAGAACCCCCTAGGCAGAGCCTAGGTAGGGAACAAAACCTTCCGTCGTGCTGTTTCTTGCACGGCGCGAGCACGTCTGCGCGGGCACCTGTCGGGCGGGAGCGGGACCACCTCGAAGAGAACGGAGCCGCGCCCGATCTCCGACGGAACCCCGGGGGGCCTTCCAAACCATCCCCCGCCCTCGATGGCGCCCCGCGCCCATGCAGGGTGTGCGCGGCGACTCGGGAGCTCTTGTCGGCAAATTCCCAAAATCGCAGGCCCAGAGGTTGACACCAACACCAAGATCGGTGGTGTGCCTCCACCGAGGGATGAAGATCCCAATCTCGGTGATGGTGGTAATATTCGAAAGAGCGTGTTCTACCGCTGCTGGCGGAAAACCGGGGGGGGTCACGACCGGTTCGAACCCCTCCCCCCCCCCCCCTCCGGAAAACCGGGGGGGTCACTACCGGTTCGAACCCCTCCCCCCCCCCCCCAGCTCATCATGAAAAGGGGGGGGGTCACTACCGGTTCGAACCCCCCCCCCCCCCCTCGAAAACCGAGTGGGGGTGCGGACAGAGGTGGGGACGGTGTTGGTGGGACAGTGGTGAGGGGACAGCGGGACAGTGGTGGGGACAGTGGGACAGTGGGACAGTAGAGGGCCGGTAGTGGTGGGGACAGTGGTGGGGACAATGGTGGGAACAGGGGGGACAGTGGACAGTGGTGGGGACGGTGGTGGTGGGGACAGTGGTGTGGGCACAGTGGGAATGAGGTGGAAACAGTGGGACAGTGGAGGGTACAATGGTGGTGGGGACAGTGGTGAAGGCGGTGGCGAGGACGGCGGTGGGACAATGGGACAGAGGTACAGTGGGGACAGTGGTGGGGACAGTGGGGACAGTGGTGGGAACAGTGGGACAGCTCAGTGGGACAGCGGCGGAGTCAGTGGGACAGTGGGGACAGTGGGGATAGTCGGGCAGTGGTTGGGGCCGTGGAGACAGTGGGGAGAGTGGAACCGTGGTGGGAACAGTGGTGGGGACAGTGGGGACAGTGCGACAGTGGTGGGGGCACTGGTGGGGACACAGTGGGGACAGTGGTGGTGAGGACAGTGGTGCTGGGAACAACAGTGGAGGATGTGATGCGGACGGTGGTAGGGACCGGGAGTCGTTTGCTGGCGGTGAGTGGGGGGGTGGGGATTTAGGGGTTTAAACCGGCGTATGATCCCCCTCTGGTTTTCGAGGGGGGGGGGGGGGGTTCGAACCGGTAGTGACCCGCCCGGTTTTCCGCCCGGAGGGGGGGGGGGGGGGGGAGGTGTTCGAACCGGTAGTGGACCCCCCCCGGTTTTCCGGATAGGACGAGGGGGGGGGGGGGAAGGGGTTTCGAAACCGGTACCGTTAGTGACCCCCTCGGTTTTCGAGGGGTGAGGGGGGGGAGGGGTGGGAGGGGTTAGGGGAGGGGGGGGGTTTTGCCAGGGGAGAGGGGTGGGGGGGGGGGTGGGAGGGGTTTCCAGCAAGGGGGACGGATTTTCGGAGGGGGGGGGGAGGGGGCGACCCCCGGGTTCCGGAGGAAAAGGTTGGCAATTTTCCATAGTAAAGCGGCGGTGGATCACGCTCTCTCTGATATTCTGGCTTCCAAGGTGACCGAAACATTACCACCAACACCGAAATCCAGGATCATCTTCCCCCTGTGGAGGCAACCCCCTGTTTTGGTGTTGGTGCCCATGTCCAGGCCTCCAACAAAAGCACTGCTTGCGTGAATGGGGTTCGTGCGCGCCCTCGGAGGAGCTCTTCCCGCTTCTTGGCCCGGGCGGGCCCGTTCCCGCCCGCCCGCCGCCGCCCCGCGGCACACCCCCGCCCCGTTGCACCCGCCACCCGCTCGCATCGCGAGCATTGCACTGCTTCGCACTGCTTCGCACTGCGTCGCATTGCTTCACCTTGCTTCGTTTGTGTTGCGTTGCTTCGCATTGCTTTGCGTCGCTTCGCATTCTTTCGCATTGCTTCGCGTTGCGTTGCATCGCGTTGCATTGCATTGCGTTGCCTGGCATGGCGTCGCATTGCTTCGCGTTGTGTTGCATTGCTTTGCATCTCGGTATAGTGTTCGCAATGCGTTGCATTTCTTCGCAGTGCTTTGCATTGCTTTGCAGCGTTTTTTCCTCACCCCGCCCAACGAGGAAATATTTCACGATTGCGGTTCAGCCACGCACGACGAACAGTTCGGCGCCCCCGAGCTTGC